AGGCCTTCAAAATCGCTCAAAATAGCACTTCTCGGGCAAAAGGACGACAATTTACCGTATGTAAGGTAATACAACGTTTATTTTAGCATTGGTCTTCGTACATTTTTAGCGATACACCGCTACAGATGAAGCAAACGGTAGATCCAGTACATTTCTAAATCTAAATCTAATTCTATACAATCTCCCACGTGGGATATATGTGCACAAGGAATGGTCAGCGGTTATTTAGTCATAGTAGTGGCTTCTACTGATTAAATCTTTAATGTCTTGGTCTCGCAAAAGGGAAGACTTAAGGTAGTCAACAGAAGAAGCGTTATGAAATGTGATCGGGAAGATGACTCCACTCTCGGACAGTGCGAGGAAGGAATGAAGCTCTGTAACTGCTCTTGAGCGCAAGGATATTCCTGAAGTAGTGTTGGCCTTGGGATTGTCTAGTAGCACGTCTACAAGGCCGTGTTTAATCTTGTGCATCCCCCAGTCAGGGATAAACGGTTGACAGCCCTGCGCGCTTCGAGGCTCTGCCATCCGAGATGGCATATCATTTGCGTGACTCTAAGCCCAGCCTACGGAACGGCGCTTACATTTTCACGCTGAAAAAAAATCTTCAGTGGAATCAAGTTTGTACCTGTGAAAGGTCACAGACAAGACAAACACCGCAAGAATTAAACTGACTACGTCACCTCGGCTGGCTCACTTTGTCGAAGGAATCAAGAGTTTATGTTTGTGTTTATTTCAAGATGCGCAATATTTTTGTGGGAACGAAATGGTCGAAATGAAAAGTAAGTTTCTTTGAAAAACCTTTTATTGCTTTAACTTGCAGCCATTATCATTAATTTCGCCATATATATTTCATTCCTCGAGCGGTTATCCAATATGGCCGCTATTACTCACGTTGCGTATTCACCCAACCATTCGATTTCACTGTCAATATCCAGGGGGTGATCGTATTCGTATTGTAAACATGGTTGTGACAACTCATGATGTGCTTGTCGTCAAACCTCTTCTCTGCCGCACCGTAAGCTTCATGGAAATTTCTAGAAGCCTCGATCTAGTGATGGATCTATCGTATGAGGTATCTGTGAAAATATCAGCCCAATAAGCCGAATAGTGTCGGAGAAATTATCATTTAAAACTCAAAACTTTAACAAAGAATGTGTGGGCTCATGAACGTTTCTGCCACCCAGCCATCTCGCAGTTTTTCATAGCTGCTATTTTCTTTGTTATTGTTTGCAAAGGGCTGAAAATTGCACAAAACATACTTCTTAAGTTTATTTATTCTCAGCAAAAGTTAATCACGAATTCCTTCTTCATAAAATACTAATTGGTAGATGTCATTGTTATGCTCAAACTTAATCCATCTATGTCTCGGAATTAAAACTAACCTTTTTAGTTAGTGTTAGAGAATGGTGAGAAAAACAAGAAGCTAATTGGATTACTGTATGAATAATGTCACATAAATAAAGAAAAGTAACGATGGGTAATGTATACAGACCAGTGCATGGCGGATCTAGGGGAGGGGCCCGTAAGGCCCCCCTCCCTTATTTTTTGACCAAACTAAGGCCCGAAGGGCCGAAAAAACATTTATTTTCTTTGAGACCACTCCCCTCCTTATCTCAGAGTCTGAAAGAGAGCCCGCTTATCGGAAGGTCTGCGTCCGCCACCGCAGATTATGTGCCGTACTTAAGGAAAATAATAGAAAACAAGCTTTCTAAGTTTTTTTTATGATTTCTCAGGGAATACAGAATATTTTAACTATTACATCTTAAGGGGTGTGGATTCCTGCTTGCTATTTTTCCGCATTTGTCCTAATTAAAGATATTCTTGTCAAGATCAGACTGTCGACAACTTGCCATGGTGCAGCGCCACCTCCACCCCTCACCCCACTCTAAATACGTAGAGCTGAAACACGGTTCAATTAATAATTTCATTTTTGTAGTCATTTGCTGCATGTTATATATGTAAGTAATCTAGCGTGTTTAGCGTGTGTAATACTCAAATTGCACGCTAAGTGTGCTATAAAACGCAAACGTACCGTGACATATATCACGCTACTAGAAAAAACGATTCGGCGTGCTACGTTTACCAAAACAAAGCCAAGTGTGTCCGTCTTTGTTGCAGCTATTTAATATGCGCATATCCGTGATCTAAGACACGCTAAGCGTGTCGTGAGCGTGCTTTCACCTTTAGCATTAAAATCGTGTGGAGGGTCATATTTAGAGATTATGCACAACGCCCTCCGAAGAGATACCGACTTCTTGTCGACAGGTGTAATAACTTTCCGGCATTAAAAGGCTTAACACAGGCCACTACTTCAATATTTTATTTACAGACAAAAGATCACGTTATTATAATGATCCTGACTTCCCTAACCCGCAAATAGCATCGGTCCTCGAAGCCAGTCCGTATCCTACATTATTACGTTGTATATGCAACTATTTACTGCCCTTATAACCGACAAATATACTGTTAGTATTGTAATAACAGGAATATAAAGTACATTACAATACATTACATTATTCAATATTGATTTTTGTTGGTTACTGGTGGAAAAATTCATAACGGCGACCAAGGCCGAAATGGTTGTTTAGCTGAGCGTGGTGATCGATTAATCGATACTAACTGGCTGCTTTTGCGAAAGTTAAATTGCTGTTTAAGCCGGATCGATCCAACTGACAACTGATAAAAATCGATCGTGCTCAAAGAAACCAAAAGTTGTCTGTCATGAGTAATTGATCATCAATTACCGAAATTTACAGTTTGTTATTTGGCGTTGATCAACATTTGATTGATATCGACGACTTCTATGGATTAACCACCCTAGCATCATGTCGATACCATAAAAGCGCCGTTTCGAAGTAATAAATATTCTTTCCAACTTATTTGCTTATATCCACTATCGAGATATCAACACATAGGAATTGTAGTTTAAACAGGAGTCAAAGGTATTTGACACGATAGATCACAACTATCCTTTTAGAAAAACTTTGGTGTTATGGAATCCAGGGCAAGCGAAAGCGATTTGTTTCCGGGTTAACGGGACGGAGTCAGACCTTTTGGAAAGTTTAACTGGTTTTGCCCAATGCTTAATTCTGGGCCCAGTGCTCTTTCTTATTTACGAATTGATGATGATGCCGATTAACTCATTTAGTGTTGTATGATAATGATACGAACATTCTTGGGATAAGAGCTCAGTCGAATCTCCATGTATACGACCAACACCGGAAAGAGATCACTCATATTAACGACCCTGAGAGATCCTTAGAATTTTCCCAGTCAAAATTCTCAGATTGGATCCTCTCGTAAACGACCATCTTTCGCACGCGACCCCGGCGCTTTGTGGAGTGACGACTTTTAGAATTTTCCATTGATTTAAGTCATCAGTACGGAAATTCTGTCGCTGAGCTCAGAGAGTAAAGAGCGAAATTCACTTGGGGGCGAACTCAATGACCCCCGCAAATCCCCCCCCCCCCCCCCCCCCCCCCCCCC